GAGGATGGACTGTAGCGGGTGGAGGGGTGATGCGGCTTGGGGGGGTAGACCTTCCCTGTGACAGACCTGCCGGGATGGCGGTCCGTCAGGATCAAGACGAAGGGATGAGGATGGGGGAGATGGAGATGGAGCTGGAAGGGACAGCGCAGCTCCAACGCAGACTTAACACGCACGTACTCCAATCTGTGCAAATGAAGAATGAGCCACAAAACAGACTGCAGCTGGGGTATACCCCCAGCGGACTGACTGGACTGGACTGGACTGGCCTGGTACCGACACTGGTACCGGGCAGGACTGGACTGGACTGAATAACCGCACGGCCTGTGGGGTCAGGCCACGGCCTGGTCCCACAGGCCGGACTGGCAAATAGCCAAATAGGCCCTGGCTGTGGGCCAGGGCAGATGAAGGCCCGCTGCACGCCTGTTCCGGGATCAAGGACATAGTGAGGGGAGAGAAGGTTTTCTTCCGGGCTGATACGAAGTGGCTCTTAGCTAATTGCAATATTGTGCACCACGGATATTCGCAAGAGGAAAGCAAGTAGGGGACTCGGAAATAGGCGGTGAGAAGGGTTTGGTTTACGGAACCAACGGTATACTGGCGATCAAACTGTGGCGGATCGGAGATGTATCTGACGAACGATCCCGGCGGGGGCGGGAACGCTAACATACACAACGGACAGACATACGCGAATGGGGGTTCGCAGAATGGCGGGTCCGGACAGCACTACGGAGACACTAACAACAGTAACTACGGGGAAGGGGGAGGACGACACCAGTTCGGGAACAACACCTGCTATAATTGCGGGAAACTCGGGCATATTGTCCGGGATTGCTGGTCGGCAAAGAGGGGAAGGGGGTTCGCCAATGCTCAGGGTGACCCGGAGCTGGAAGAGATGAAACAACATTTCAGGCAAGTAAGAAGAGAGAGGCAAGAGATGGAGGAGAGGCGAAGGCTAGAGGCAGAGCGGAAGGCCAAAAAGGAGGAGGAAATAAAGAGAAACCAAGATTTCGCCAGGAAAGCTGAGGAATTCAAATTACAGCTACGACTTTAGCTGATGGAGGAATGGAAGAAGGCGAACACTGAAGCAAGCATGGCGATGGGGAAGGCGAAGAGATCGGGGAAGAAGCATTCCGTGACACGACCTGGAAAGGGCAGAAGGAGAAGCGGACATCAGAAGAAGAAGAAGAAGAAGAAGGTGAGGGAGATCTCTAGCGACAACTCGAAAGAAGAAAGCTCCACGGAAGAAGAGTCGACCGATACTACGACATCGGAATCCGAATCGGAACTACTAGCGATAAGGAGAGCTCGAAGAGGGAGGGCGAAGAAACGGTCGCAAGGAAAACGGAGAGCCACGAAGGTGAAAGGGAGATCGACAGCTGAGGACACTCCTTCTTGAACTTACGAACGAGGAGAAAGCTCTAAGCAGCGGAAGACGGACCAATCATGTGATATGGTTCACGAAGGGACGAAGCCAGACACCGAGGAGATCACGGAGGAGCCTATGACACCCCTTATGGGGAGTTTTAAAGGCTTAGCAGCTGGGTGCTCGCAGAAAGGCTTGATTGACTACTGCATTTCCGCCCATAAAATCTACTCTGCAAAGAAGGCCGACGTCTTAAGGAAGATTTGCGAGAAGAAAGGAATCAAGTACACGAAGAAGCCTGAAGTAGTGGAGTTGCTCGCCAGGCACCAAGTCCAACTGGCGTATGATGGCTACGAAGAGACTTCGGAGAAGGAAAAGACCAACGGGAAGACGAAGACTTCAGGCACACCGCGAAAGGAATTTACCAAGGATAGGATTACTTCAGAGAGACCGACGGCCAGGGTGACACCAATGATCATCAGATCTGCGCTGGACCAACCGGTGGACGAATCTGATTGACAATCAGCGCCCCCATCTAGCACTGAACTCTAGGAAATACTGGCTGTACAAAACAGCTGGGCTGTTCTCGGAAAAGCAGACGAAACACACTGCGTACTAAGCTCGACAGAGTTATCGCTAGAAAGACCGGTGTAAGTGTGAGGAGAAGAGTGAATATAAAAATACCCTTCAACTCACGGATTCGCAAAGCTGGTGTGCAGAAGAACGCGGAGGACCTGGTCGAGGATACAATCCAAGACAAACCTCTGGCGGATTTCGTGAAGACTAGGATCCGGGTGTTGTGGCTGAAGAACTGCAACGTCGCAGACTTGATACATAACCAGAAAGGTTTTGCGAGCGTCGATGAACATCCTTGCCCGTGTGCTGGTAAGGATCTTCCTAAGCTGATGGCCACATTGTATCCAGATTCTCTGACATGGATATTCCGGCGTTTGTACGGAATTCGAAGAATGTGACGAGACCAGCGAAGGCAGGAGATGTACACAAGATCGCCAAGGCTATCTTCGATGCCATGAAGCATCTCAAGTGCTCCAGGGTACCACACGTTGAACCAGCAACGATCTTCTCTGGGCAGCCGACCGGGACAACAGCATGGACAGACACCGAAGTACGAGAGTGGTGTAAGCAGTTTGAGGACCTGGTTCTGTGTCTGATTGATAGGAACCAGGGGGACACGGCCATAATGTGTCCGGTGCTATACAGACACGGCTTCGGCAAGACCTTCACTTGGAATTCTAACTATGAGACCGTGGGGGAGCTGGAGTCTGAAGAGAAGATAATTAGAGAATGCAGAGAAGTATTCCAGAGCTGCGGACTTGACAAGATCGGCGGATGGAGACCGGATGGACGCATCGGGACGGCGTACGTGATCCCCAAACATAAGGACCTCACCCGTTGGAGACCAATTGCTCCAGCACCAGCTGACCCTGCGGCACTCGCACAAAGAAGGGTGGCTAGAGCCTTACATCTGCTGCTGAAGAGGCTTCCAGCAAATAGTACCTTTTATCTCAACTCTATCTCAGAATTGCCGGAAAGACTGGAAGCGACCACACACCGTCTCAGGACAGCTGGCTGCGAGACTGCAGTAGGCCGATGTTACGACATCAAAGAGATGTTTTCATGGATACCACATGAGGCCGTGATGCAAGCTGTACATCAATTACTCAAGATCTACGAGGATAAGGGATGCAAGTAAATCAGAGTGTCATTCAGGGGGAAACTTGCAATCATCAGCGACAATAGGCGGAAGATGGAGGGGTACGTGGGTCTGTCGCTGAAACTGGTGATGGAAGGAGTCAAATACGACCTGCAACACTTGGTGGTGAGATGCGGGGACAAGCTAGTGAGGCAAGTCTTCGGCATCCCGATGGGGAAGTCCACAAGCCCGATTCGGGCTTCAATCACTTGCGCAATGGCTGAGTTGCGGTTTATCCATGAGTTAGGAGCCAACAGGCGGCTGATCGGGGGGTGGAGGGTGATGGATGACATTACGGTCGTGGCAGGCATCGAGGTTCAGGACAACAATGATAACTACCTAGAAGACCTGTTGAAGAGCTTCGAAGGAATCTACGACAGACACCTGGAGATCATCCGCAAGGATGAGTGTGGTCTGACATGGCAGTTCGTCGGGGGTTAGATGTTCATATGCAGTGCACCACTGCAGAGCCACTACGTCCCTAGCACGAAGAATACCGACGCCCTGCACAATGAGGGGAGGTTATCCTTCCAAACCATGCAGGATTACAGATCATATACGGCTAAGTGCGTTAAAAAGGCTGTACTGACGACTACATTGAAGAGATTGTGGGACCAGACTACAAGTAAGGAGCTTGTACTTGGCACTATTGGATATGCGATCTGTGAAGCTGACCTCCGGGGCTACCCCCTGGAGGTCTCTCTCGAAGCCATGGCTAATTTAGCCAAGGCTATGCCCAATCGAGCACTGAAAAGTCTGCTTCATGCCTTCTCCTTTACGGCAGCATGGGCCAAGAGCAGGAAAAAGGGGGTCGACTAGCTGGACTCACCAGGCTTAGCAGGCTTCGACCCTTCAGAAGGAGCTACATGCGATCGGCACCGTATCTGAGACAATGGGGCGAAGACCCCGATGGTCATCTTCAGACCCCTCGTCGGTTTTAAGCTTAGGACCGACTTAGAACGTGCGGGGGTGCGGTCGTATTTTTCAAAATCGGGACTTCGAACTGTCAAATAGGGAATAGGATCGAGTTCTTGGGGACCCTTAGGCCCCACGTAGCGACAGGAACTAATTTTGGGGTTTTTTGGATACTCTGGTTTTGAATATTTGGGTTTTGCGAGTTTTTCAGACTTTTTGCACTCTTCGACGGATTGTGTTCGTAAGGGCTGACAGACATTAGTAGGACCAGAATAGATGCTTGACGAAACGCCTCGGCCAATCTTGACCGGCGGGTTTAAGAGGTTTTGCAATTTTGTTGTTCTTACCTCTCGGAAGAAGAGGGTTTTTCGCTCTGATAGAGACGAGGAGAGATTAAGGTAGTGGATAAGAACAGTATATATATCGGGAGGCAAGGCTTCAGCCCCCCTTTTTGCGAGCACGAAGACTCTTCCACAGAGTCACCCTCCTGATGATCCCGTGTGGGCGGGTGAAACCGGTTGGGGGATACCACCTGTTGCTCTTTTGCAGTTATCTGTCACTCACATCGGTTTTTG